GGGTTTTCCCCCGCTGGGAGCTAGAAATTGAATATGGGGCCTTGAATATGCTACATATGTGCTCTATCTGAGCTACGCCTCTCATTGCTGGCCACTGGGGAAGAATGAACTGGACATGATGGAGACAGTTCCTCTTAAGAGCAAAGCATTCCCCTGGTCCATGCCATCCAGCCTGGAAGGAGGGGAGGTCAGTCCTGGCCCTGGATAGCTTATGACTCTCTCCCTAAGCTAGAGCATCAACCAGCTTCCAGCAGTAGCAAGGATGTTTTTTACTTCTATCTACTAACAATTTGTCTTAATTTACAATTTGTTTAAAACCTGGGTGAGGGAGAATGGGGCTTCAATAGATTATCCTTATTCTGAGAAGGTCCCAGAGGTATATAGAAACCCCTGGGTAAAAGTGAATGTAATTAGCAAAAGCTCCTCACACAAATATAACAACATATACTAAGAATCAGTGTGTAGAGTCAGGGAAGGTGAGGACAGATCCTGAATGCCGACATCTAAGTGAGAGCAAAAGCAGGGGAGGGGGGGGATCTGTCCTCTGAAAAACTAGCAGAGGAAACAGAGTATCAAGCATCCAGAATGAGAGGCTACAGGTTTAAAGGGAATACGGACTGCATGTGTAGAAAACAGCAATCCTCACACATAGACACACATAAGACAACACAAGAGAGGCACAGAAATGGCTTCAGCTCGCTCTTAGATCTCTTTCTATCCAAGGTTCTAGAACCTGAACCCTAGCCAAGTTCTCAATGATCTTCAAGAGCAGACATTTAGTAACCAAATGAAACTTTAAGACATTTATTGTCCTCTTCTGTCCCTGAACAGATACTGAGAGTATGACGTTAAATTAGCAATGGACTGAGACATATTTCCTGGTCACTTGCAGAAGCAATTAATACTACTGGTTAACTTTAATTTTTCATTACAAACTTAAATAAAAACCTCATGCCTATTAGTTTCTCAGAAGCAACACCAATACTTGATAACTTTCCAAAGGGTAGCAGGTAGGAACAAATGGCATTTCTTTTCTTGGCCAATGCCTCTGGACCCTGAGTGCTCAGCCTTGAAGTCACTCATCACTTGTTAGACACCCTGCCTGTTGTGCTACTCTAGGCACCTCTGCCTTTTTTTCAAATAATCAGTAGAGGGTTTTTTTTTTCTTTTTTCTATTACAGAAATAATAAATTCACTTTAGAAAACTGGAAATATAAAGTATTAAAAAAAGTAAAATTATAATTCTACCTTCCTGGGATAATGACTACAGATATTTTGAGCATTTTCTCCCATACTTGCATACAGATTTTTTTAAATAAAATTGAGATTAATCTTTTATTTTTTTCTGTTTAACATTATACTGTGAAATGTCCTGTTTCCTTTAGAAAAATGGAATGTAATGGCAGACAAATATTCCATTTAATGAATATACCATCATTTATTTAACTATTGCACTACTGGTCCACATTTGGTTATAAATTTTTCATCCTTACAAAGAACACTGCAGAGAGAAACCTTGCACATAAATCAGTGCATCTCTGATGATTTCCTCAAGGTAAATTCCTAGGAGTGAAGCCACTGAACCAAAGAGGCCACTGATGTTTAAATATATATTTATCATGTTAGTTTTTGCTCCTGTGTGCCAAGCACAGGCTGTGGTGAGGGCCAAACAGACATGGCGGAGACAGAGCTCGGGTAGGGAGGAGGCAAGAAGGGTTGGGGAGCAGCACAGGTGAGCAGCAATGCCTGCATTTCCTGGGGGAGAGAAGGAAGCCATGAGAAACCACACAAACTATTCTGTTCTGGGAAACCTCTCTCATGGTGTTCTTTTCTGGATTTCTGGACTCCAAGATGTTTTCAGGATTAGATTGGTTCTTATAAAAAGGCCAGCATGATGCTTATACAAAGGTTATATCCTTTTCTTTCTACTAGAACTTAATGTCTCTGTCAGTGATAAGGATTCTTAGCAGACAGTCTAACCAGCCATGACTCAATACAATTACTGAATAAAGGCTGAACTTATGTTTATATTTACATGACTGTATCATTAATACAAAATTTGGTTTCAGCTCTGCAATACCAATTACATCATTTAAAAGAAACAGCAAAAGGGAAAAAATACAAAAATATAGCAATCCCCTTCTCATCCATTCTAGGCCATAAACACAAACCATCTCAGGAGATAAATAACAAATAATTAAGGGTGATTCTCATCAGCAATTCCTTGCACATATCCTTATGAGTTCCCATCCCCATCATTTCTATCCATTATCTTTAATCATACTAGACTGAAGAACTGCCCTTGGATAGCAAAGCTCTCAAACACACTATAGCTGGCTCCAATTTGCAGGACTCATTCCTCCACCCCACACCATGATGGAATTCCTGGGTGCACTCTAGTCAGCCCACCTCAGCATCCCATCCACACACACGCACATGAAGCAAGACTCTCTTGTAAGACTACACTGCCCAATAGCCACTAGCTACATAATTAGATTGGGGTGTTAATGAAGCAGAACTAATTTATGGCTTACTCACCTTCCTGTTATATTTTATTACTTGTAATGAGGGTTCAACCCTAAAGATAATATTAGAAAAATAAAATGATGTGATTAGTATTATACATATAAGTGATATCAAGTTATTACCCATTTACCCATAATTTGGGTAAAGGATATTGTCTAGTAAAGTTAAGACAGTTTTGGTGGTCTGAGGGGTAACTTGCACAAAAATTTTTCAAAAAGCAAATGTGTCTACTGACCAGGGGGGCAGCAGATCTCATGAAAATCAAAGATCAGTAGAAAAAAGGGCCAGGCGTGGTGTCCCATGCCCAGGATCCCAGCAGCTCAGGAAGCTAAGACAGGAGGATAGCGAGTTCAAAGCCAGCCTCAGCAACTCCACAAGGTCCCTCAGCAACTTAGTAAGAACCTATCTCAAAACACAAAAAGGGCTGGGGATGCGGCTCAGTGGTTTAGCGCCCCTGGGTTCAATCCTTAGTACACACACCCAAACACACACACACAAAAAAAAAAAGAGAGAGAAAAAAAGAAAAAGGACCAGTGGGAGGGAGAAAGAGAGGGAGAGAGGAAAATACTAGGAAGGGGAAATACTAGGAATGGTATCAGTCAAATTATACTATTACATTGTGAGTATGTACAAACACATAACAACAAATCCCACTACTATGTACAACTATAATACAATAAAAATATGGGGGAAAACAAGTATATTTTCTCCTACAAAAGTGATAAAGGGCTGGGGATGTGGTTTAGTGGTAGAACATTTGCCTGGCATATGTGAAGCCTTGGGTTCAATTTCCAATACCACGAAAACAAATAAATAAATAAACCTTGTAATAATTTCAAAGTCTGCTAACATTCAGTGTTTCTTGGGATGTAATAAAATAGGCACTTGAACACCATTAGTAGAAATATAAATAGGTACAAAATTTTTGAAAGGTCATTTTGTACTACCTACCACATGCCTATACCTTGACTTGACCATCTCATGGTTAGAAAACCCTTACCGAACTACACTGCCCAATAGCCACTAGCTATATGTGGCTATTTTAATTTAAATTAACTAAAATAAAATAAAATGAGAAGTTCATTTGCTGAGTTGCCCTTATTTCACCTTAAGTGCTCAAAAACCACTGGTATGTTGTGGACCATGCCCACTATATAGGGCAGTACAGATGTAGATCACTTCATCATCACAGAAAATTCTACCAGGCAGTGCTGCTGTGCTTTGTTCACAAAAGTGAATGACGACATTCAATGTTACATTGGTTAAAAAGCAAAAAAAAAAAAAAAAAGTGTTGGGGGGAATAAATTATGTCACATTTACACTAAAGCATGCAAATAAAAAATATGAAGCAGACATGAACGAACAAAGCAGACTCTGTATGATGTTAAATTAAAAAATATATTGCAGTCAATTGTAATTGGCACATGCCTGTAATCTCAGCAACTTAGGAAGCTGAGACAGGAGGACTGTAAGTTGGAAGTTAAAAAAAGAAAGAAAAAGGACTAGGGCTGTGGTTCTGTGGTAAAGCATCCCTGGGTTCAATGCCCAGTGCCACACTCTTCCCCCTACCAAAAAAAGTATATTGCAAATTAAGATATGCATTTTTAACATTTTATGTATAGGTATTTGTGAAATCTATAGACAATAAATATCTACAAGGATATATATAAAAGTAATAGTGAAAAAAAAGATTGGAAAAAGGAATGGGAATTGGTACTTTTATTTCTAAATAGTTTGAATTTATTACAACCAGCATATATTACTTGTATACTAAAAAAAAGAGAGACAGGGTAGCCACGCATAGTGGCATATGTTTATAATCCCAGCTGCCTGGGAGACTGAGTCAAGAGGACTGAAAATTTGAGGTCAGCCTGGGCTACAAAGAGAGACCTGTCCCAAAAGAGGAAAAAAAAAAAAAAGAAGATAGATTTTTTTAAATAATATGATTTTAGAAAGCCCTGAAAATCTTAAACTCTACTCTGATAAGCAAAGAAGGAAGTACTCAGTGGTACTTCCTTCTTTGCTTATCATTTTTCTAGATAAACTAATCAAAAATATTTTTCTGAAGCCCCAGAGGATCCAGAGGCATCCTTCTACAGCTTTGGCACTATTCTACCAGTATCACTTCCCATCCGATATTTCCCCAAATTGTACTCTTTTCTTTGCTCCATCTTTTCACCAAATCATACCCTCCCTCTTTCTCAGGAGACTTATGAAACTACTATCATGACACTACCTTGTCACACCACAAGAGAAAGCAAATACCTCAACAGATGTATTTCTCCCCAGAAGAACAAAATCTACCTTTTCATCCTTCAGCCCAAGCAATGAAAGTGTGAGGGTAATGAAAGTAGAAAGGATAGGCAACAGCGTTTTAGAAATACCACTTTGGATACATATCCCATCTATGAAAGTATTTTTTAAAAGACCACATCAAATACAAGAAAACCACCACTAGCAAATCAGATAAGCAATTGTGTTCCAAGTGTGATGGGTTTATTTTATTTTACTCTGATGCAAAACCAAAGGTTCCACTATAGCACAGAGACCAATATATTAAAACATCATGAAAAAGTGGTATGGTACATGCAGGACGTGATGTACAAACTTGAGGATCAGGTCATTTCCTTTAACATGACACTACACTGTCGCTGAGGAACAAATTTAAATTAACACTGCAGAACTCAACTGAAATGTGGCACAAACATGACAACTTCCAGGCATGCCTTCAAGAACCTCCCTTAGGATGGACTTGCAATCTCTAGACTTCATGTGGGGAGATTTACAATTCTTTGGAAGAATAAAAAGTTCACACTTTTGAAATTTCACAGAAGAATTTTAAGGCCAAAACATAGTGGGTTCATTTCTCTTCACTTCCAAGAACAAATCTGATGCTTTACTTAAAACCACATTAAGCTTCCAGTTCAAATCCCAACCCAACCTTGTGCCCTCCTGCACTGAAGTTCTTTCCATCGATTAAAGCTGACAGGGTCAGTTTGACTCCTAGGAAGAAGAAAACACCACAGTTAGTTGTTGCCAACATTACAATCAGATCTAAGTTTTCTAGAACTAATGGACAGTCAATTGCATGAATTATAAGCTGGGTATAAGCTGTACTAAATTGGAATAGGGTTATCCATTATCCTCTAATCTGACATGCATAAAGCATGATCACAGCAAACTTTTATTTGGAGTTCAGGGTTACAAACAATGAGTGATCAACCAAACTAAAAAGCCAGAGTGACCAAATTATAGTTAGAAATAAACTCTTTCTATGTGAAAGTATTTGATCTGAAAGTACTTGATCAAATGTTATAAAATGGTCTGAAATCAACCTACAATGATTATAGGCTATCCTTCTTTTAGTTGTAGGTGGACACAATACCTTTATTTATTTATTTATTTTAATGTGGCGCTGAAGATTGAACCCAGTGCCTTGCACATGTTAGGCGAGCGCTCTACTGCTGAACCACAACCCCAGCCCTGTAGGATGTCTTTCTATAGGTTATTCTTGTGGTTCCTTTATCACCTTATACCCGAACCCCTCTGTTATTAATTCTTTTACATACCTGGTCGAAGGGTCTGAGTATAACCCAGTCCAATCAAGCTGGCATTGTTTACTTTAGCCTAAGATTAAGAGATGGAATAAAAACAGAAGACAATCAATTTCACAATATGTAGCCAATACAACCACTACTTCATGCATCAGGTTTCCAAAACTAAAACCACTTTGGAGCCAAACTAGAATTAGTAAAACTGAAAATTGTATAAATAAAAAGATTAGCCTTTTAAGAAGTCAATAGGGCTGAGAGGAATAGCGGCAACTTTGAGAATGTGTGCTTAAAGGCCCTGAGCAAATTCTTTTAATGCACGGTATATGCCTATGAACTGAATTCTTTGAAATGCTAGTTTACAACCTGACAGTGGTTATAACATGAACACTGCTGACAGAAAAATCAGATACGGGTTCAAATCTTGACACTGCCACAAACTGTGACTTTGACCTTTCTAGACCAGTTTTCTCATTTATAAATCAGAGATAAAGACACACTACTCATCACATACAGTAGCAAGGATTAAATGAAATAGTATATGGAAAGTCTAAGCATTAAGCCCCTGAAATCTAAGAGTAGATTTACTATTATTAAGAACTACCAATAACAACAAGAATAGTAATCCTATCCCATGAGTTTACAGATAAGAAATTGCTAAGGCCAAAGAGATCAAACTACTTCAGAAGGTCAGACAATAGCCAAACAGAGGAAGAGCTAGGAGTAGAATCCATAATTCCTACCCCCAGGCACAATTATCTTTTTACTACACAATGAGCTATCTCATTAAAATTAATAAAGAATGCACAAACTACAATCATATCACAACATTCAACTATAGTTGAGATGAAAACATAAGAGCAGATCCAAACTAGTAGCACATTCTTACAGATAGAGAAGTTCTACAATCCAGCTTATATTTAGCAGCAATGCCAAAACGGGTATTGTTGCTACCAGCTGTCCATGCAAGATTTATTGACGTTTCAATCTTCTCATTAACTTTCTGGTAGATAGAACCTCCAAATTCAGTGCCATCATTCCTGTTTTCATAGCATAAGAAAAAGTCATAAATATTAGTTTGTACCATTCATTATTATGACATGGAAACAAATTCTAAGAGTATCTAAATATAGATTCTATTTTGCAACTAAAGATTTCTGCAAATTTCTAACATAAATAACCATTAAACAAGGAACTTAATCCAGCTGTGCAATTTATAATCACCTAATGAGAACACAGTAACATTTGATTCATTTATTGCTAGTCCTTTCTATTGTTTATTTTGAGAGAGGGTCTCCCTACATTGCTGAGGCTGGCCTCAAACTTGTGATCCTCCTGCTTAGACTACTTAGTTGCTGGGATTATAGGTATTTGCTACCACACCCAGCTATAATGTAAGTTTCTTAGATTGATTCAATTATGCACAAAGGCAGGTAAATATGATCTTTGGGATGTTCATAAAATTTAGAGACTTCAAAGTAGAGTTCAATAAAGATTATGAAAATTTTAAAAAAGCAGAAATATGGGAAAGCCAAATCTGGATGTTATTTAAAACATAGCCCTAGAGTGAGAAAACATATCCCTAAGATATCAAGGGGGCACCAGAGAAGCACCTCAATTATAGATTTAAAGCATCACAGATGAGCTTTCATGTTTCCCATTTTACCAGTATCAATGCCTATCTATATCACTGTTTGACTCTGTTTAGCCATCATAAGTGAATAAGCGTATCTAGTGGAGAGCAATCTGTAATACTTCAAAAACACTTATCTTACCTTTTTATCTTCTTTTGGTACCAGGGATTGAACTCAGGGGCACTCAGCCACTGAGCCACAGCCACAGCCCTATTTTGTATTTTATTTAGAGACAGGGTCTCACTGAGTTGCTTAGCACCTTGCTTTTGCTGAGGCTGGCTTTGAACTCATGATCCTCCTGTCTCAGCCTCCCAGGGCGCTGGGATTATAGGTGTTTGCCACCATGCCTGGATCACCCTTTTCTTTTATGTCCTGGTACAGTACAATATTCATTTGGCCAAGACTTAAAATACAAGTACAGATTCATTCAGCCAACAGAGTGCAGGCTACACAACTGAATCCCAGGACAGCTCTGAGGACTTCTGTTACTTCTGAATGTAATAGGAGAAGCAGTTCTGACCAAGGATACCTGAAAACCTCCATAGAATTACTGAGGATGCTCCAATCAATATAGAAGAACAGAAGATGTTCTTAGTAATCCAAACAGACTAGTTTCTAGATATGGCCCAAATGGCATAGATAGCAGGGTAGCAGAGGAAGAAGCAGAACTCTCCAAAAGATTTTTTATACCCAGAGGATAACCCATGTTCTAGGTTGTCTCTTTAGTAGTGGTTCTCCTACAGTTTCTAGAGCTTAATAAAGCTTGGGGTAAAGGCTGAGAGGCCAGTAACTACCAGTAGTGCAGCAATATGCACTAAGTGCACTAGCCTCCTGACAGTGTTCTGCTGAGAATGAAAACAGCAAGGCTGGGTATCCTCCACGGCATATTACCATCACTTCTAATCTTCTCAATATGCTAACTATCACCTTTTGGGGGGCAAATGCACTAGTACTAAAGAAGAAGCAATTTATAAATACTCACACATGAGTGTGCAATTGGAAGTCTGCAGCCTTATAACCCAGGGCGAAATTATTCTGAGACAGTTTGGATTTAGCTGTGTCAAAACTCATCTGATAGCCAGCAAGCCAACCTTCAAAAGCCAATACAGCCCAGCCATAAATGGTTGGCCCAGAAAAATCTATATCAACATTACTGCCAACACTGAAACAATCCCGTTTATAGGAGGCCTTCAATTTCCCACTCTTCTTTCTGTAAAAAACAAATGAGAACAACATAAGTTTCAACTATTACGCAGGAATCTTTAGAGTTAAGACCCTCTCTCTCCCAAAGTAGATACTGTTTTGGTAGATGGCATAAGGATACTAAAATGTTTCAAATTACTTAGCTCTACAAATGTAAGTTTACTAATATTAGAAATGTACATACTATTATTATCTATTCTTCACTGCAAGTTCAAATAACAGGGTACCTTCATGACTAATTTTATAAAGGCATAAATAAAACTATAAGGGGGAAGGTTGGTCAACAGATTCTAAGTTACATGGGAAATATTAAGCTTTGGCATTCTATTGCACAGTATGGTTACTATAGATAAAGATAATGTACTATATATAATTCAAAAAAGAAAAAAGGATTTGATGTTTTCACCATGAAATGATAAATGTTCAGAGACGTTTATTATGACTTGAACATTACACAATGCATACAAATATCAAAACACCACACAATACCCATAAAACATGTAAAATGTCAATTAAAACTTTATTAAAAAAGGAATAAAATTTTTCAGTGCCAAATTAATACTGGAGATGTAGGTATACAGACATATGAGAACTAAATCTCTTGATAAGTTTGCAAATGCCACAAAAGTAACACCCAATACACATTATTAACTTATCATGGAAAGAAATGTATTATTTTGAAGAATAATACTGAACAGACAAAATTAGTTCTTAATAATCCATGTCCTATTCCAGTCAAATCTCTGATGATAATATTAGTCCTAAAGGTAACTAAGCATGTAATAGGAAAGATACTAGTTACAACTGAGAAGAAATTCTACTTTCCATTTATGCAGCACCTTTGTCCTTCAGATAGCCGGGAACCAACTTAGAGGAAATAACACATCCACATTCTTTACAGAGTATGCTAAGAAATCAAGTCAGTAGCAAAACTATTCATTATGGAGTTTTAGAGTCCATAAATTATATTATATTATGAAGATTATTTGCTTCAGAAATTAACTTCTCAGAAGAATACCATACCCATCAATCTTTAGAACAGCTTAAGATATACCTATGGTCTTAGACCCTTCTAGCTCCCAAACTTTTTTCTACAATATGCCTCTCTAGAATAGATACATATATTTTTGTTCATCTGTTCAATTTTCAAATGAAAATGCTATCCTACTTCAAGGATCTTTCTTTATCTTTTTATATACAAGGTCTCTAGTATTCTTAACAGGAGCCTCCTAATTTCTCTCTGCCTCTAAACTTTCATCGCAACTCCCTTCTAAACCTTTAAGGCTTCAAAAACAGTTCATAAAATAGGGTTTAGATAATTACCCTGTGTTCGGTACAAATATGGTATCAAGAGTCAGTTTCAACCCGTCAGCCAACTGAAAAACAAAGATTTTAAATGAACAATTAGTAATTTTTAATACTTAATTTGACTCAAAGAGCCAATTTTTAAGTTTCCTTTAACTTCCTCTTTAACAAAAATAGGAAGTCATTAAAGAAAGCCAGATATTAAATTATATAATAAATTACCTCCCATCCTTCCCTGTCCCCTTATTCCTCGTCCCTCACCCCTAGCCTTCCGCATGGTTCTCCCATCAAAAAACAGGTTATAAGCTGAGCCAACTGGGCAGGTACTTGTAGTCCCAGCTATTTCGGAGGCTGAGGCAGGAGGATCCCTTAAGCCCAGGAATTCAAAGCCAGCTCGGCCAACATCGTGAGACCCCATCTCAAAAAAGGAGGTTAAAATGTATAGGCCAAATCCTATTAAGGCAAATAACATAAATTATAGAACAAAAATAATAAATTCCAATACAACAAAATAATCTTGCTACATTCTCTTGAAGTTACTGTAATGATATAACAAGTCAACTTAAATAATTTATTCAGCTGTAATCTGTTTATATGACATCGTGCATACAGATACACTTTTAAAAACAGTGCCCTGTACATAGTGGGCACTTGACAAATGTCTACTGATATTTCTCCTTGAAAATGTTAAAGAATTTTAGAAACATTTTTTTGTGGAGCCAATTTTACAATGATTACAAAACTAAACTACTGCAAATAGTTTATTCTACTCAGAAAAAGTTCAACTATATAACAAAATAATCAGAACTGATCAGAAAAGATGTTATGTAATAATCAGAGGACTCACAAACAAAGCCTTATTTCTAGAAATGTAAGACATACCAAAAAAAAAAAAAACATGCATAGAAAAAATACAGCTATTAGATATGGTGTAAGACCTCATTCAGATTATATTTGGGGTTTGTTCATCATTCAATCTTCAAGAGAAACTGAACCTACAAATAACTTCAAATGCTTTCTCTTACCTTATTCTCCAAAGAGATTTCTGTTCCAAGAGTATTGTCTGTGTTCCATTTTTGGGTGAAGGTAAGTCCATAGTTACAGACCTTATATTTGGTCTCTAGGTTGCCCGACGCTTTCCCTGTATCAGTATAAGCATGACCCGAAGTAGAAAATTCCTGATAAACAAAAAGATAATTACTTTAAAATTATCTCATCCAAGAGAAAACATTAATTTCAGAAAGCAGAGCTCAATGCATCAGAAACTAATACAATTTACTTTTATACCAGTGCCCTACTTTATAGCAATCCTGCTTTCCTTCTGCTTTTCCTCTCTTAATATATATCTTAATTAATCATCTTTCTTTTTTGATATTTAATGTTCTATATACTCTTCCTAAATGGGCACCTTAAAGTCTCTCCTTCAAGCTGTGTGTGGTGGCACACTCCTGTAATACCAGTGACTCAGGAGCCTGAGGCAGGAAGATTACAAGTTTGAAGCCATCCTCAGCAAACTCAGTGAGGCCCTACACAACTTTTTGAAAAACCCTGTCTCAAAATAAAAAATAAAAAGAGATGGAAGTTTGGGCTGTAGCTCAGTGGCAGACTGCTTGCCTAGCATGTGTGAGGCACTGGGTTCGATCCTTAGTTCCATATAAAAATAAACAAATAAAATAAAGTAATTATAATAAATTTTTTTTTAAAAGCTGGAGATGTAGCTCAGGGGTAAAGTACCCCTGGGTTTAAACCCTAGTGTCAAAATAAATAAATAAACAAGCAAACAATAAAAATAATTCTCTCCTTAAGAAATATATCTTTACTAAAAATAAATGCCAAAAGACAAAATTATTGAATCTTAAACAGTTTACTTTCATGGTCTAAAAAACATCATCAGGTCTCTGTAATGCCTTTCAAACTACTAATTAAATCTAGAGGTCCTTAAAAAGCCCAAAGCACTACCCCTCTCCATTAATAGAATCAGTGCTTTGGGTTTTGTTTTTTGTTTGATTTTTGCAGCACTAGTAATCAAACCCAGGGCTTTGTGCATGGCTAGGCAAGCACTCTAACACTGAGCTAAACCCCCAGCCTATTACTTTTTCTAATGTACTTATATTTTGGAAAAATTCAATTAACATAAAATTTAGCATTTTAATAGTTTTCAAGGGTACAATGTACACGTTATCGTGAAGTATTAAGTACATTCACAATGTTGTGAAAACATTAACTGCTTTTGTCTACAACACTATCCGCAAAACTTTCAACATAAACAATTTCAATACTTGAAATTATCTACCTATTTTTCACAATAAAGTAGAATGCTACAATTTATCCCTCTTTCCTTCTTCTCCATCCTGTTACCTTATAAAGTTGCTTTCTACCAACAGCTACTATAAATGCCTTAAGTATATCCTCCTCCAAATTTAAGTATCCTTTCAGTCATATGACAATAAGCAATTAGAAACAGACCTCCTTCTAGGGGCATGCAAACAGTCAACACCTGTCACTGACAATCTACAACTGTCAAGAAAAAAACATTCTGATTGGTCCTGTTTGCAAGGAGCATTTCTGATATACTGCCAACAGAAAAAAAAGGCTGCCAACCCTGACCAGTTCTGTTTTACTGCCTGCAATATGAATCCTCCCTTTAACAAAACCCTGCCCCCTAACTCGAGTTCCACAGGCAGATGAAACAACTGGGAAACTGTGATCTGTTTATCAGCACCACACAGAAAGCTTTCAAAGAGACTATCGTGCGGCACATTTAGAGCAAGGCCTTAGGAAAAAAGCAAGAAAATGTTAGCCATGTTTAACAGTCCATGTAATTCTTTAATGTGACAATTGTTTTGTTTTAATATTTTTACATTTTCATAAATTTGTCAAGCATAGCAAACACAGATATTAATTTTGGTGTTAGAAAAATTTTATGAATAAAATTAAAGTAATATAGTCTACATGTCTTCCTTGTTACTGTCAACTTTTCTTAGTTTGAAACTCTGTCAAGAAACTAAAATGCTAGAGGTAAAAATCTCAGAGAAGACTAGATTGTTCTAAGTTGAACTCCATACCCACAACTGCTTCAGTCTAATTTCATACTTAGGTCAAATAAGTGAAAAATATATTTATAACATGCATATAACATCCACAGCTCTATATTACATGTTAGTAAGCAACAGAACAAAAATGTCACGGTTAAATAGATGCTGTATGATAAAAATATGCAGATACAATCTAAGAAACAGTGAATGAAATTTATCCTAAATTTCAAGTACCAAGACCAAAAGCAACCATAAAAACAAATAAGCTTTTTTCCTTACCATCTGAATGAATATAATCACACCACAGCAGCATGAAAGGGGAGATAAAATTTAGTTGATAACATTCACAACACAAACATAACTTGCACAAATTCCAAAACCCACTCAAAACATGTATGATTTTCTATTTTCACATAGCCATACATACAATATGCCAATATTAGTAGGGCAGGTGAATATATTTATTTATGCTATAGAATCCCAGAAAAAGAATGATAGTGACAAACCAAAAATTATACAAAGTCCAAAAGAAAATATCATAGGAATTCCACATGCTTCTGTCCTTATAATTAAATCTTTATTTCCAGAAATAAACTTTGCATGGGTTCAAATAGGTAAATACAAACAAAAGATGAAGCTCATGAGGAGAATCAGAGAATGAAGTTAATAAAAAGTTAACCTATTTGCTGAGATTTATTGAATAAAAACTTTGGTTAGTGATGCTTTGAAAATATGTCAATACATCCTTTACTATATTCTTACTTCCAGGGGGAAAAAGGACAAGTTGGGGCTGGGGACATAGCTCAGTAGTATAATGCGTCTAGCATGAGACAATTGAATCCTCAAAACTGAATCCCCAGCACCACCGGGAAAAAAAAAAAAAGAAAGGGAGAGAACAAGACTGGAAGTTAAGAACATCATCAGTTAAAAATTAAAGAATTAATTACCAATGTGCATACATGTAGAAATACTTTTATTTCTACATTTTGTTTAAACTAATCATGAAGAGACAGAAATTGAAATTAATTTAAAAACATACATGAACCCATTATAATGGCAATAAAGTTTTTGGTAATATATTTTCATGAATGCAAAGATTTGAGTAAAAAATACATATTCTCTATCTTCTAAGAGTATGATGGAGAATACTCTCATTATGACAAACACAAGTATCTCTGTCACATTCAATCTGATTGTCCATAGGTTTCACTGGCTGAGTTAGTGAAATCAAGAGCAGAACAAAACTGTAAAAAAGAGCACAGTTCCAAAAGTATGCCAATCCACTTAACTAGATTAATAATTATTTTTAAGCAAGTTCCTTTTAAGTTAATTATGCTACATCTATTCAAAATATAATAGCTACTCACCACTCCACTACAAGACTTGGTTCTCAGATCTATTTTGACCATGCCAAACCCTAGATACACAAACAAAAACAAAATATACAAAATGTGACACACCATTTTTTTTCACTCAGAAATTATGAAAATAGCACAGATTACTTTCCATATGGAAAATACATGGTATTCTCATTAGGTGAGTATTCTAGAAGAAACTGCATTACAATGAAATAAGTATAATTTTTAAGACCCTCAAAATGAATAAAGACATACTTTTAAAATATAAGTTAAAGAAAAAATGAATGAAAGGAATATTTTCTATTCTAAGAAACAAAATTACTGGAAAATATTATGCTAATATATATATACAAGTTGAAATATACAATTAATATTATCAGGAAAAAATTAAATGTGCACAGCCTAAAATTTTAAAACCTAAAAATAAATGCTTTTAAGGAACTCTATCTCTAAAGAATGAAGTGTAATAGCCTGTTAATAGTTATCCCCTTAAAGTTTGTAAAGTAAATTAATGTTGGCTTACCATTATTTTACTAACACATTATTGTACACACAGTAGCTATTCAACACTAACCCTTACCCAAGCCTGGAGATTTATAATAGTATATCCTTACCATATCCCTTGTTGAAGACATCCTTGGCAGCCTTTCCTAGGTCACAGTAAGTCGGTGTGTTACACATATCTTATAAAGAAAGATGAAAACAAAGGAGTAATCATTTAGTATGTATTCACCTAAAGTTGTTCTACTCTTTCCTCCTGTGAGGCATAGTTTTTTCTTCCTTTGCATCATTAATGTCAAAGTTAAGAAAAGACATTCTGCTCCTTTAAAAAAGAGCTTTCCAGAACACTAGAAAATAAAAGGTTTTCTCATGAGAGTCAGAAGATAACTTTCTGATTACATTTCAAAGAAAAGAAAGTTCTCACAGGCTGAAGGGGGGTGTTCTGTTAAATGATACTCTTCTAAAAACAAAACAAAACCTTCAAAACTTACTTCAGAAAAAGCTTTACTGGACCTTATATAGCCAATGAGCTGCGTACAGCCACAAGGTAAAATTTTTACGGAACTGTAACAATATATGTAACCAAAACCTTCAGAGTTGGAGCTAGGGATGTAGTTCAGTGATGGCACACATGCTCAAAGTCCTGGGTTCAATCCCCAGCACCACACACACACAGGAAAAAATCCTCAGGATTAACATTTTGCTTCTCTGAAACAAGGCTTAAAAGAAGCCTTAAAATAAAAGCTACCATACTAATTGAAATGAATTCATCCAGAATATGGTCTTTTTCAAAGCTCTTCTTAAAGTTTATAATTTTATCATTAACTAAAATAGGATAAATTCTACCTTCAGTAATCTGTTTACCAAAGTTGATGTAAACTCTGCAGTTATAACTTTGAAAACCTAAGCTACCTTGACTTTACATCTTGCCCCAACTTGTCTACTGCCAACATGACCTTCACATCAAATTCGCCAAAGCTACCAACACAATTCTTTTGCCCTTTTTCTATAATGGAAGTTCTTTCCTGCAGCAGGTTCTGCTGTGTGCCTCTCTCAGATTCAAAAGCCATGTCTAACCAATTACAGAACCACTTTAACCAATTCCATAAGCACACTTTTATTATACCAGAAAAATCCAGAGTTTCAGCTAGCACTTACAATTACTACACCTGAATCATCAGCATTCAAACTATTTATTTAGGCATTATTTATATTTAGTCCAGCTATTTATATTTAGTCTAGCTCTTAATCTGAACTTCTGCTAAGTTTCTATCTATGCCATCATACTTGACCATCATACTTGAAGTGCTTCATGTACTACATTTTTTTTAAAAAGGAACTTAAAAAACATTTTTTTAGTTATAGTTGGACACAATAGCTTTTTTATTTGTTTATTTTTGTATGGTGCTGAGGATGGAACCCAGTGCCTCACACAGAATAGGCAAGTGCTCTACCACTGAACTACAGCCCCATCCCTCATGCACTTCTTAACTGAGAATTCATTAAAGTTTGTTCCTTAATCTAAACCTATAAATATAACAGACACTATGATATAAAGTTAAGAGGACAGAGTATTTTATATACATACATGCATAATTTCATATACAATATATAAAAAACCATATAGAAAGTTTAGAGGAATATAAGCTAGCAATGTAGCTCAGTGGTGGAATGCTAGCCTGGTATGCAGGAGGCCCCAAGTTCAATTCCCCACCACCACCAAATTACAAAGCAAAGAGGAAAGAATGTAGTAAAGGTAAAAGAGTGGTATGGATATGTTGACTCAAACCAGAATAAAGCTGTGCTCTAAGCTACAGAGTTTCGTAGTTCACTTCCAGAGCAATTATTTTTAATTCAGTCCCTTATACTTCAATAATCAATTCAAGACTTTTACATATTCTCAATTCTAACTTCATATTATGATCACAATCGATGCTAGTATTCATTCGTTGAAATTTTGCCAGAAGCCTGTATTTTGGGAGATAAGTATAGAAATGCAGGAATTATATATTCAAATAGAAATGTCTAAAGCTTTCAGTTTTTCTTAGTGACAAGAGAAAAGATATACTGAAATATTCACAAGCACCCATATATATTCCTCTAGGTACTAGTTATAATCTTTTTCATTTTGTCATTTTTCAAAACCAGTATCAGATACTTTGCAAAAGTCAAGTAGCTGATTTAGTTTACTGATCTCAATTCTGCCTAATTTAATATTATTTTTCAGGTCCATGATTCTGACGGGAAATGCATTGCTGGTATGATCAAGCAAAAAGCAAGAAGTCAGGGAGATTTCCTGTTGCTGGAGAGTAAAGCTATAACCACATATTTCTATTAGCTCTACAAAACGTACTTCGTAGACATACACCGTGTACCGAGGTTGCATTAGACGCAGACTGGAATTTTAAAAAAGGCGTTAACTAGATAATATTGCTTTACACAACCACAAACTTGACAGTCCGTAGAGAGCCCCCTTTTGTTCCTCGTTTCTGCTTTTTAAGTTGCACGGACAGCATCCTCCCTAAGGCCAGCAGTGTTAAGACCCCGCTGGTCAACAATTCCAGAGAGAAAGGTGAGGGCGAGGGTGCGGGAGTGGTTTGGGGTTCAAGGACCCAACTTCCCTAGAAACCGACCTCCTTTCTAGCCTTACAAAGTCCTGTCCGCACGCGGGGTGGTAGGAAGGTCGCGGCTCGCTGCGGCACCAGCCCCCGCCTGCGCTGCGGCTCCATCACCTGAGGCGGCCAAGGAGCAAGGTCCCTGGCAGGAGCCGGCGTCCCCTCTGCCCTCCGCGGCCTGCCCGGCCCGCGCCCCGTTAGACCGCTGTCTCCCTCCACCGCCCTCTGTTAGGCCCGCCTCCGTCGACCTCCCCTGGATCAAGTCCCCCGACTCTCCGGCCTTCCCAGGTCTTCCGGGTACGCGGCCTCAGCTCTCCTCACCTCCAACCTAAGGGCCTGTCTCGGCTCCGCCAGGGCAACGCTGAAGGTCTTCTTCAAACCAACGCCGTCCGCGCCTGCGCGGCCTCACTCCCCCCGCGGCGCCTGCGCGCCCCTGACGCCCCCGAGCGCGTTTACGCCGTGGTGTCTTGTCGCACTCGCGCGCCTCGGGTCTGGGTGCTGAGAGGAGCCGCCCGGGTGTATGGGCACCAACTGTCCGACTTCTCGGGCGCGCGTGCGCAGGAGGGCCCAGCGCGCAGGTGGCTGGGGCGAGGGTTGACGTGGGTGCGGCGGAGTCCAGGGCTCCTCGCTTTGTCCCTGTAGGGGCTCGTTCTCGCGAGAACGCCTGAAGGCACCTAGTTACTGTTGCCATAGAGGGGCGCGAGGAAGGCACGTAGAGATGCGGACCCTGCTGTATCTGGATGGATACTCCCGCGGGCACGACACCCATACTCATTCTCTGGTAGATGTCTAGCAGATCTTTTTGGGAATTTCATCTCAGAGTGACAAGAATGTCACCCTTGCGTCATCTTAAGGATGAGAAAACATAGGTCCCCAAAGGGTAAGTAGAAGTAGATTATAACTCAAGAGGGGGAGAGGAGATGGAGGAGGGAAAGCTCTTCAGAGGAGAATACCAAGTAATGAAAGTGTAGGAGAGATTATATAAATAGAAAACCACCTATTTGGAACCACTGTAGTAGTAATTGATTCAGGCAAAAAAACATCAATATATGGTTGGGTAGGATATTGGTATGGTTTCAAAGAATCGCCCCATGGGCTGCTTACCAAGAGAAAAGGGTACCTTCACATCAAGAAATTCACCCTTAACTAAATAACCAAACTTAACTTCACCATGGATGGTAGAGAATGACGTTATGTGCCTGGCGATGTGTTGCAGAGAAGAACATAAAAGATAATTTTCTGGCCAAACTTGTGTAATTGTCCTTATTCATCAGGAAAGAATCAGACAAACCCAAAATGAGGGAATTTCTACAAAAAAAAAAAATCGGTTTCATGGTTTTGTTTGTTTGTTTGTTTTTGGAAAGGCTAGTGGGCTGTTCTGCATCAAAGGAGACAAAAGAATGTGTGATTCTAAGTGGACCCTGGATAAGAAACAGCTCTTGAAAAACATTATTAGTACAATTGGAGAAATTTGAATGCAGATTATATTAGTATTGTAACAATGTAAAATGTTTTGAGGATGATGTGTTTTGATTATGCAGAAGTGACCTTGTTTTTAGGAGATACATTCTGAAATATTTAAAAATATATCTGCAACTAACTCTCAAATCGTTTAGGAAAAAAAAAAGAAAAACCAAATGAGACAAAATGTTAACAAATGGTGAATCTAGATAGAAGATATATAGAGATAGATAGATAGATAGATAGATAGATAGATAGATAGACGACAGATAGATTTTACTGAAACTTTCCAGTAAGTTTTAAAATTTTTAAAATAAAAGGGAGAAAACAACACCATAAAGTCTGGATTTATCATTATACAATACAGGTTGCTGCTTGAATCAATAGGCAAATACTGTTGCTTGTCTGCCATAAGGCATTTCAGTCAATGAGAGATAAGTAAGTTAAATGCCCCTAAGGGACTCATAAGGTAAAACTTGTACAGATATCTGCTGACTAAGACAGAATGTGATAAATGTCATAAGAACAGAGCAGTATAACCTGGTAGCCTAAATGAAAATGAACTTTAGAGTCAAAAGAGGCTGAGTTTGTGTTCCAGCTCTGCCAACTCTGATCTTAGGCAAGCAACTTAGCTTCTCTATATCTGTTTCCACAGCAATGAAATAGAACTAAATGATATGTACCTCGTGAAATTATAATGGATATTAAATGTTGTTTTCAGAGTTCATAATCTACCTGGCAGATGGAAAATGTTTGTTAGTTAATAACATGAAAATTAATACGCAATAGGAGTTTAAAAGCTGTACAAGTAAAACCCATATTTATTCATTTGCCTATTTGGCTCAGACCTGACCTTTGTCAAGTACAGCAGGCATTAAAAGAGCACTTTAGGAATTTAGCAGCATTCTTTCCTTGTCTCCTGTTTTTCAAAGTTTTGTCTTCTGAAAGGACCTGACATGACCAGTCCCAGGTCATCCAGAGAGACCTGCTCTCTCTCCAAGTGAAGCAGGAAGGCAATAAAAGAAACCATTCCAGAAGACAACTGCTGCAGAAAGGCATCCTTCCTTTGCTCCCTGTCAAGTTAGCTGGATCGAGATTAAGAGTGACCATATCAACACTCTGGCCTTCACTACCTCAAAACTGCAGTTGGTTCTCACAAATCGTAGTAAATAATCTTCTGTTCCTATGGAATTTTTATAGAATTATAGAATTTTAGAGCAGAAAGGGATTTCAGACTCCTTCCTTTGAGAGACATGTGCTAAGTATTTACTGTGTACAGGGCATTGTGCTTAGAGGTAATATTTGAAGAAACTTCCCAAAGTGGCAGAGTCATCAGGTTGAGAGGCCCAGAGAGAGGGTATCACCCCATGAATGGGTTCACAGGATCCAGGTCACCTGCTCAGATCATCAGGATAACTTGCTGATCTGATTATGTTGCCTTTTAGAATGAAAAATCCATAAAGTTAGCATAGATATATTCTCAGAAATATTAAAAAACAGCTGAGAACAGAAGTACTACTGTGAAGCTTTGGTAGCTCAATGACTCTAAGGGTTAAGAATACTGTATGATTCTAAAGCCAATGGTGTTAATTTTCCTTCTTTATAGAAAAAGGGTCCATGTGCTTCTTTTCAAGGACTCCAAAATTCTGATGAAACCTGAAGATCCCTTACCTACTGAACTAATGCTGATGGTATCTTTGAAGAGAAGAAGGCACCTTATAACAAGGAGGCAGCTGAGCACAGAAACACAGCAGTGCCAGCACCTATTTGAACCTGGGAGGAAACTAAAGACTTCTTGTAATGGTTCATGTGGACAAGAGGGGAATGGCTTCCACAGCAGAGGCAGAGCAGAATCAAGGACTTATTTCATAACCTTAGAATCCACGCACCTCAAGGAAGTGATCATATGTTTATGCCCAGATTTATCATTAATTGCTTAAATAATTTAAAGTTGCAAAAAATTTAAAAGACTCTAAATGGCTAACATTTAGAAGATTCATTAAATAAAGTATACAACATCCATGTTCTGGGTTATGATTCAATCATGCCTGATAATATTTGATTATCCAGGAGAAAGCCTTGGCGAAGGAAAAAAAAAAAAGGAGGAAACAAAGGTATAAACAAAGGTATATCTAGTATAATCAGTGTGTGTGTGTGTGTGTGTGTGTGTGTGTGTGTGTGTCTGTGTCTGTGTGTATGTGTGTGTTGTGATTTCATTTTAAGAAGAAGCAAGGGAGTGATAAACATCAGTGTCTACCTCCAATGGGGAAACAGTGGAACTTGGCAGAGGGTGCTCATAGAGATATGGGCACAAGTAATGACTAATTATGGAGCTGATGATGGATGAAACATTGCATATTAAATAAATGCTGCATGTATATATGTATACGTAACTGCATAGAAAAAAAAGAAAATTGGGAAAATTTACCAAAGGCAGACAGTAACTATTTTTGCTGAATCAGAGCATAAGTTATTTTAATTTTCTTCACCCTTTTCTGTATTTTCCAAAATTTCTAAAATTTGGAAACATGTATTTATTTTATAATTAGAAAAGTTTGACTTACTTTCATAAAGTGGGGAAGTACCTAGATTTATGAGAAGGAGAGTGCTGTTCCTTGGGGAATTTCCCCCAGAAATTGGGAAATGTTTCTGGAATCACACATACCTGGAATTTACATTAGGCTTTCTGTTTGGCCCTCTTTTGGCCACAAGAGGGAGCAAGAAGACAAGGTAAAAGTCAAGCTAAACCTAAAGGGCCAGTTTCCTATTGTCAAGACAAAAACCCTAACCTTCCTCTTACTCCCCCAAACCTGATTCAAGATCTTCTAGAGTCTCATAGTTGTGAATCAGGTTTGGATAGTGTGTCTGGGGACTTTATATCAAAGTTAGAGTCAAATTTGAGTGTCCAAAGGAGCTTCAAATGATAAAATCAGTTTTCAATGTACCACAGGTTAGGGTAGACCCTGGCTGACACAACCAAAGAGTTATTTAATCATAAGCACTTCCTAGTGAAGTACCATTTACCCCAAAGATCAGAAAAAAGGTGACATCCCTACAGTTACATATAACATAAGAACAACAACACAGTTCCCTGTGATTTTTTATTGAATAAATAGACCTATGTTCCAATCGACTTGATTAGTTTGGGGATGGACTTCAGCTCATGAGCTACGTAATGTGGTATGGAGGGAAGAATATACTTTGGAACCAGAAAATGTTTAAATCCTAGGTCTGTAACTCACAAGCCATGTGACCTCGGGCAAATTGCTTGATCTCTCTGTACTCACTGTCTTCATTTTTAAAATGGAGATCCCCAGAATAAACTCATGGTAAGATGGGGCCCACCCAGAGGGAGGTTTCAGCTGCAAACAGACTTTCTTTGGCCAAAGTCCTAGGAAGACTTAGACCACACCTGAAAGCCTGGAACAGAGGAGCCATGATCATACCCAGTGACTCAGATATACCACAACACCAGGAAGATGGAATAATTAGGTGAAGACTCACCCTCAAGTGGGAGTGGTAATGGGGAGGGATATTAGAATCATGTAACACCCACTAACACCCAGGGAAATTAAAGGCACACAGCCTCTTTTCTCCAGTGGGGGATTCCAGAGCTCATGTTGTACATAGGTTATGGGTAACGTTAATCTTTTAAAGTTTGCTTTTTCAGATTTAGGACTCTAGCATATTTGAAGTATTCTAATACAATGGGGTTCACCACTTACTTTTGAGAAAAAAATATAGACCCAGTTTGGTCTGCATCATGGGAGAACATATTCTGTCAAAAGGGAAGAGGCTGCAGACCTGGAGGATCCCTCTTTGCTTACTCCATCCAAGAAAAAGTCTTCCTAGGGCTTGTGGACTACCTGGTAATGACAGCCTCTGCCCCAAGTCACACACAGGGTTGCTGTGGAGCTTACTACGGTCCTTGCCCACCTCTACAACCCTTCTAGCCTTTTATGCACAAGACACCACTCCAGACTAGGTTCCTGGAGACAGTGAATCACAAGCCCACATAGAGGAGGCCACCATCCCAACATAGGTACCAAAGGGCACAAGGGACAGAACTAACCATCAGCTTACCATTCCCTTTAGGCTCAAAATGCCACCAGAACATCATCAAATTTGAGAGAATATTTGTATTGAAAAAATGGGAAACAATGTGGGGTCACAGGGATACAATGAAAAGAAAAATTAAGGAAATGAAGAGAAATGAGGCAAAAGAGGCTCAAATGATGGAAAAACATATAGGAGATAACAGTAGAAATGGAAGATAATGAATTAAATGGAAAAAATTGGAAGAGGGTTCCACTTAGTGGAGTGGTTTCTGTCCTCTTTCCAATGTGCACCTCCTGGCATAGTATTTGCTTTTAAGCCAATAAAGAGAATAAATCAAAGGGAACTCCAGGAAAATGCTTTGCTTTCTAAGTTGTTACTTCATATGGGAGAATTTCATAAAATTGTAAGACTGAAAGAAGCCTCAAGAATTTGGCCCTGGGTTGGGGTTGTGGCTCAGTGGTAGGGTGCTCACCTAACTAACATGCATGAGGCACTGGGTTCAATCCTCAGCACCACATAAATCTAAAATAAAGATATTGTGTCCAACCAAACCTTAAAAATAAATATTTTTAAAAAAGAATTTGGCCATGAACTACTCTTGAAACATAACTATAACTCAGGGTTTTTATAAAACACCAAAAATGTACATGCATACTCTGTGGAATATTGCTGGGATACACAGAGACTGATGCAGGATGCCACTCACAGAGTCAGAGCAGCATCAACCCAAGTCCACTCAAATGCACATCTGTCCTCCTCTCAAATCACCAACTCCTTCACTGAACAAGTGAAGAGCAACGTTTTCCAAGTACTATGTATTGAGACAGGGTCAGTTTCTTCTCTTGTCACTCCCATTGCAATTTGTGTAACATATGTCAGCTGGCTTGGCACAGAGAAGCAAGAGACGGGAGGGTGCCCAGGACTAGGGTGAGGCATTCGGGATTTATGAAGTCACAAGAAATAGCATCAAATCCTGTTTTAAACAAAAAGATGGGCCAGGTGCAATGGCGCACACCCGTTATCCCAGCAGCTCAGGAGGCTCAGGCAGGAGGATTACAAGTTCAAAGCCAGCCTTAGCAATGGCAAGATGCTAAGCAACTCAGTGAGACCCTGTCTCTAAATAGAATACAAAACAGGGTTGGGGAAGTGGCTCAGTGGTTGAGTACCCTGAGTTCCACCCTTGGTACCCACCCCCCAAAAAAGTTGACAGAAACCATCTTTGAGGATGGAATGTCTGGGGAGCCTGGTGCTATTCCCAGAGAGATGCCTGGTGTGGGAGGAGGAACCAAGACCATTTATGCTAGAGAAGGAAGGTCCCTAACAATGCCATCTCACACCATTTCCAAGGCAGTTACTTTTACAGAAAATATGGTAAGAATAGTGCCTTATGCAACTGGGCAACATGGAGACAAAGCACACCCCACCCTAAACTCTTGGAAAAATGGTATAGGAGAGATCCCCAAATCAGAAAGAACTGAGATTAAGAGGTGACATGACCTCTCAGATTCCCTGCTTTCCAACCTATCCTGTGCAAACCCCACACTTTGTTGCAAGACACCTGACAAACTCTTGCTCCTCAGCATTTGTACACGGTTTGCTTTACCTCTTGACCCCAGGTAGGTAAAAGGTAATGATTACATCAGCTCTGTGATTATATCCTGCAGTCTTTGTCTGCTCCCACCAACATGCCCTTTCTCATCTCTGATTTTATTGAACATTTCCTGTGAGATTCTGCCAAAGATCTGCTTGTTTCAGTTACTTTGATTTTTCTTTTAAGAAAAGTAAATTTATGGAAATCAAACTGGTTTTGACACTGAAGCCATAACAAATAAAAGTTTCCATTCCGTGAATATAAATCATCAATTCTGACACTGCCTTTGACTTGAACCATAGCAGCTGTAATTTGGGAGAATACAGGTGTCAGCTGTCAGACGCAAGCCTGCAATTCTTTTCTAGGTCTGGAGACACCCAGAGTGTGATCAGACATACAGTGCTAAAACCGGGACCTTTGGAAATTTCTTCTGGGCATATTTGTTTCCTCTAAGCTTACTCAATAATGCTCAATTTTGGTGTTTCATTGGTCCAGGTGTTCGCTACAAAACTAAGGATCAGTTTGAGATTTTCAATTAACCCATAATCCTTGCCAGGGGGCATCAAAATGGCAACATCTTGGCCAAAACTGCCCAGGAGTGCTTCCCTTGTTCTACAGTGAATGAAGTGGTTTTTTCAAAAAGACAGCTACAGTTCAAGATGCTGCCTACTGCTCAAGGGGTCCCTGTTGTGCTGTTGGTCTAGTTTGCATCCAGTGGAGTAACCCAGAAGCAGAGACACCTTTTTAAGCAGAAACATTTTTTAAAGCTTTCATTTTCTTCCTTTCTTCCTCTCTGTCACACTCTTCCCATTACCTCTAATCCCCAGAAAATTGAGATGCAGCTTGTGACAGTAGACGCTGCCAGGAGGGCATCTCATCTTGTTTATTGCCATCCTAGCTGAGGACTGTTACCAATAGGCAAGCCGCTTGGCAAATTTGAAAATATATCAAAAGTCATTATCTAGGGAGTACTTCACCTACCTACACCCCTCCAAGTTGCTCTGACCTTTGAGAAACAGAAATAGTTGGTTTTTTTTTTTTTTAAGCATTGTACAAAACAACTATTGAAAGCCTGCCATGATATGGCTATCTGATTGCTAGGTGCTAAAGATTATATGATGATGGAATATTCTAGCCTGGAAAATTGACGAGTGACAATTGCTTAGAGTTTTATGAGTGCTAGTTACCCCACCAGGCCCTGTGCATGTATTCAGACACTGAACCCTTAGAATATTGTCTTCTTGAGTTAGATAGTGCTAGTTGTACAATTGAAGAGATTGAAGTCTTCTAGATTGGTGAACTAATTTGCTTGAGGTCACAAATTTTTTAAATCCACTCATATATGCATTCTTGCATCACATAAAAACATTTATTATGTGCCAAGCACTCAAAACATGAGAATATAAATTAGCTACAGGCCTGCCCTCACAGAGCTTAACATTTAGATATAAAGACAAATAACGAGAGTTTTATAAGTGCTATGATAGGCATACGGACGCACAGGGGATGGGAGTGGAAGCCCCCAAGAAGGGAAGCAAGCATGGGGACCAAATAAGGTGTGCCTGACTCCAAAGCCAACACTCTTTCAGTGCTGACAGAGAGAGAGAGAGAGAGAGAGAGAGAGAAAGAGAGACAGAGAGACAGAGAGAGAGAGACAGAGAGAAGATTAACTCTTCTGTTTCTGGGAGACAAAATGGAGATCACTATCATTCATGCAAGATGTTAGTTAATCTTATACTTCAATACTACATATTCAGCAAATACTTGATTATTTGGAGAGCTTTTCAAGGCAAACTGTTGTCCTGCCTCCCCCAACTTGCTTTCTAGTCTGAAATCCCAGTCCCAATCCCATGACCCCAAATTTGAAATGTCAGATTTATTCTTGGCTCCTCCCTCCCAATCACTTCCCACACCTACACAAAATGGTGTAGATATAATTTCAGAACTCCATCTGTTGTTTAGTTCTCATTGCCATGAGTCACTGCCAGAGATTAGACCTCTGCATTGTCATAGAACAGTCACAGCTGAGTCCTGAATGACCTCCCTGCATCACCTTTTATTCACCACAACCTCAGTTCCACACTACCACCAGCACCATTTTCCTAGAAAGCAAATTAGGGCGTGCCATTTTCAGGTTCAAGTATCATTAAGGACTTTCTATGGCAAAGAGAATAAAATCCAGTTTACTTGACATGGTTTATCAGGTGTGGCACAGTCAGCCTCATCTTGTCTTCCCATTATCTGCCCCAGCCACACTGAATCTCTCACTAGAACCTACATACACTTCCCTGCACTTGTCAGGACCGGGGGTGAGACCAATCCATGCCTCTCAACCTAGCAAACCTCTATTCATCCCACAAAATACAGCCCAAATATCACCTGTTCTGTAAACACATTCCTTTATTTCTCCAGAAGATCTAAATCATGCCCTCCTCTGTATTGATATGTTGGTAGGTCCTCCAACTCTGCATTTATTTTAATGTTTATCATAATATACACAAGCCACCCATCCATATGTCTTCTGTCTGGACTCTGTATACTCAGAGTTTTCATACATCATTTCCAACATTGAACACAGGTTCTACTACATCCTTAAGATTCTGTATTGTGTTACAGCATCTCTTACCAGCCCTTTTTGTCTGTATAGCATCAATGGCCTTTGGTACCCTGACATTTTTTCTGCATTTAGGCAACAGGAAGTGGAGAGACTCAGCAGACAGGGGACCCTGGGGCTCTCGCCTTTATCCTTGGTCATAATTGCCCAACTTCAAAATAAATTCTGTACCATCCCTACTTACTGGCTTATCACATTATCAAAGGGTGTTTGATGTTGTCAGTTTAAGAGATTTTAAAAAAATAGTAGTTGACAAAGAAGGAACTCCCAATGTATTACATGAGCAGCACCAAATAACACCAACGCAAGGAAGAGAGCCAAGTAACCTAAAGGCATATTTCCCAGTTCAACTCTTGACCCACATCGTACCTTACTCAAAGTGAGAAATGCAGCATGGGTCAAGTGCTCCATGGTAGAGTGCTTGCCTAACATGCATGAGGCCATGGGTTCCATCCCCCCGCCTCCCTCTCTCTCTCTCTCTCTCTCTC